GAGAATGAGAGAGAGAGAGAGAGAGAGAGAGAGAGAGAGAGAGAGAGAGAGAGAAGTGTGTATCAGCTGATATGTAAAATTCTGATCTCTAAATATAACCCACATTTCTTTCATCCCACAATCTTTTTTTTCATGTGGCCAAGAACACTGAAAATAATAGAGGGTTCTATGCATGTGTAGTCCTTACCAGAATAATTTGAACTGACTAGAGATGAGGGGCCCATAGGAATTATACAAATGTTTCATCATACATTTACCACTTTTTTTCCAATGTAGGCATTTTTGTAGATAAAAAAGGGGATGAAAAGAGGATTGTATGGAGCTCTGTACTGATTCCCTGGAAACTGGAATTGCACATAGAGAGTACTATTCTTTAATCTTTTTTCTTTGTAGAATAAAGTATTTGATAAAGAAGTAAAGCAGTTTCACATGCTCCCTCAAACAAATGATAACTTTTAAAGGGATGTGCCTGAATTTTTAGTAAATAATCTAAATATATATGGTGATGGGGGGAAAAAAAGAATCTTGAATAAAGAAAATATTAAATTATCCCTGAAAGCTTACCTCTAATATCAATTTGTTTTCACTAATATGAGTCTTTAAATGAGTTGTATTTTTTACAGGTAAAACCAATTTTCCTCTTCTCCATTGAATAGATGCTGCTGGATTAGACAGAACATCACAACTTATGTTGATGGGATTTCCTTCCCAAGAGTAATAAATTGTTTGATTTGACACAAAAATTGGAGCATCTGCAACACATATTGTAAAAGCATATTATTGCTTTGCCTTCATTTAACATTATGTTGATCAGTTTATTAAAAATACATCAATTGTTCAGATTTATCGAAACACTATTTTAGAATGTTAAGCACATCCTAATAATTATGAAATATAATCAAAAGTTTAAATTGTAGTTTGCTCATTGTAATGTTACTTTTATAATAGAACAAAACAAAGTAACCTCACATACTGGACAAAATCCTATCTATAATGGTGTAAACCATTCAGATATATGATAATTTAACTGTGAAAACCTTTCAAATGAATGTCAGTTAAAGCACTTAATTATTTACTTTCCACAATTCAAAAAGTTCAGTGACTAATTATTTATGCACAAGAGCATCTATCTGGCTCATTCACATCAAAAACATGATAGGGCAGACTGTCCCCCCAGCCCCGGAACAATTTTTACACACTAATTCATTGGTTTGTTAAAATCTCAGAGGGGTGTGTAAATGTTTTACTTATCTTCACTGTGGCCTAATTCTTTCTAGCTCCATTATTTATTTTTTTACTTAGAATTTTTGTAAATCATGAATCATGAGAGTGTCAGGGGTGCAAAAAAATTAAACAGAATTAAAACAACAGCAACACAGAAAAAAATACACAAAGATGGAACACAGATAATGAATAAATTTCATTAGAGTTGAACTCATAGCAGAACCAACACATTTCAGTGTTTCTAGGGGAAACATATCTCAGAGTATGGGGCCAGCTAAGATGACAATGTGTTTACAGTCAAAACCCCCCCCCCCCAAATGATGATGTTAACTATGCATTTAGTTATGCATTGTTTAAAGACTGTTTACAGGTTGGAAAAGTTATATAGAAACATTTTGAAATAATTATGACACAGGCTAGTCTAGGCATCCTGAGATTTAAATTAGGTGGAACCATTTTTTATCAATAGGTTCTCTCATACCTTTTATATTCAATCATAAGCAAGAGCTTTTAGGGGACTTGTTAGAGGGAGGAGTGAAGTGAATAGCAACAATAAAGCAATCATAATAATTCCACTGGTTTTTCTCTACAGACTTTTTTTTTCTCTATCCAACTCTCTAAAACTTGAAAAGCAAAAGACAAGAAAATACAAAATTATGTATTAACACCTGAAATGGATCTTCTTAATCCTGATAATATCTAAATCTGGTTGAATCCTAAAATAAATAAAATAAAATAAAAAATAGCTTAAGTCATTGAATCAAATGTAGTATACTGTTGCTACCAACTTTAGCAACAAATTGAATTATTATAATTTTGGCATATGAAACACTATTATGACAGTTAAATTGCAGTGTTGTCATAGCTTCTGATATGACAAGTAGTTCAAAATGGATCAGAAATAAGCTAGGTCAAAGTAGAAATATACTGTACAGAATCACAGTTATAACAAAAACATACCATACTATTTATTTGTATGCCACATATTGAAAAAAAGGAGGAGGAGAAGGGTACTAATGGCTGTCTATTATTTTAACGCCACTAATCCTTAATCAGAAGATGAACAACCATATTTTGAAATAGCTACAGTATACTTTCAGGATAGCCTATTCTCAATTTTGCCAGAGCATGAATTACTGAAGTTAAGACATTATATCAGGAAGAGTAACAGCTGGTAACTATGAATATGCTTATTTAGGTGGCTAAACCCAATCTAGAACTTGCTAAATATATATTTGTCCCATTTTATTTGAATTAACTTCAGATTATTGCACTATCCCATTCTAGTTTATTACGTCTCCAGTCATTAATCTAACAAGACTACTATTTCAACTTAATCAAATATGAAGAAGAAGCCTTGTGTAATGCTAGTCCACTGATACCAAGCTCAGGATTATTCACTCAGCACAATCATGCACCTGTCTCCAGCACTATTTTCTGGATTTTGTTTCAAGGGAACAAAACCATGCAGGGACAATCTGTCCATAAGGCTAAAATAGCAGAGGATAGGAAGAAAAATATCTTCAAAGTGAGATAAACTGGAATTGAAAATGATGCCATCCCCAACATAGACAAAAGTCCTATGCAATTATGCTTCTAACTTGTCAACTAAGCTTGCCAGTTGCAGCTGAAGCAGTCCTGAAGATTCCCATACCCACACCTGCATATATCTGTAACATATAATTGTACGTATATACCTGCCAGACGCAGGTATATACACATATATAGGTGTTTGGATGCTTCTTAGTAAGGGAGGAAAGAGAAGGGCTAGATTACTAGCCTTACTTATATCCAAACCACATTCCTGCTTACAGGAATGATAATGTCAATCAATTTTGGCCATTATAACACAAGTTCAAGCAAACCCAGCTTTACCCCAATGATGCCCGTGCTGTTCTATGCAAGCTGTGATCTCTAGCTTAAAGCCTGCCTTGCAAGCCAGCACACTATAACCAAATCCCACCTTCTAGAAGTTACATGCAGTGTCAGTGTACTGACAGGAAAGTTTCCTTCACACTTGGTGGTTTTTAACATCTCTTCCTTATTGAACAGTAGTTAACAAACATGCTAGTCCACTGATACCTAGTTGAACAGTAGTTAACAAACTAACAAACAAACATATGTGAACAGTAATTAACAAACAAGTAACTGAATAATATAAATCGATCATGAGTAGAAAAAAAGGAAAAAATCACTACAAAATAAAAAGTAGAGCAACACAAATAAACAAACCATATTGCTATATATCGAGAGTATTACCAATGGTAGGTTTGTTACAATTAAGATAATGGATAAAATCTGTCCAGATTTGATAAAATTTTGGTTTCTGCCTCTAATGTTTCATTCTTCTGATTTTATTTGTAACCTCTTCTAGCATGGCAATTGAAGAAGCATTATTAATCTAAGGAATATATGCCTATTGCTAGGAATAACAAACTGAATAACCAAGGAAGAATTCATGGTTCTGGCAATAACCAGTGTTTTGTCCTGTTGGCTATCAAGGTTGCACAAACATTGAAGCAAACTGACAATACAATGTGGATGGGTAATAATCAGATAACAAATCATTAGGGTGTATTATGTTAACAAGAAGTATATATCTAAAATTTATATTGTGAATAGTTGCATTTAATAAGGGAAATAGGAGATGGGTGGTGACAAATTTGAAATATAATTTCAAATTTGACAAACTTGAAATATAAAAAAAATAAAAAAATAAATAGAGTGAGCAATGGCAAGTTATACATAAACAACAACAACAAGACAATTGATGAATAACTGTACCTTGTATCTACAGTATATTCATCTGTACTAACAGATGGATTTTCTTTTTTTACATGTGGAAATAGGAAAACATATTTTTCACATATAAAACTCATTGACCAATATAAAATAAGTATATTGTGATTTTGTCATATTTAGGGGGGGAAAAAAGAGGATCATATCACAGAACAGTTTATGATAAAACAATGAATGAATTGTGAGAAAGAAGAACACTAATAAAGTTGTCCAGGTGCATCAATGAGGTCCTCAAAAAGAAAGCAATGAGAAGTTTAAAGAATAAAACACAATGCATGAAACAATGTATGGACATGGTGGAATAATGATGATAATTTGCAAGAATAGAATGGAATGGAAAGGTAAACTGAATGGTGTTCGTGTAAACTAGATTTAGGCTGTTCTTTCTTTCTTTCTTTCTTTCTTTCTTTCTTTCTTTCTTTCTTTCTTTCTTTCTTTCTTTCTCTTTCTGTACTTTGCATAATACTGATTAGCCTGAAAAGGGATCGTGTGATGGGAGTATATATGTGTATGTAGGTGCTCAGAAAATATTAATAAACCAGGCAAGCCATCCATCTAAAGCAACAGTTATATTTAGGTTAATCTTCAGAGACATCCATTCTTCTCAGCAGTTATTTCTCTAGCCATTTTCTTCTTTTCCCATTCAGTTATTTTCAATTCTATCCTCTATTACTCCCAGCAAGTATAAAACAACACACCCCTTATTTGATGTGTAATTATTTGGAAAATTTAGGAGTTGACATTATTGATGGACATCATGTTGTCCAGGAGAATTACACTGTTCTAATCTGGTTATTATTATTACTACTATTATTATTATTATTAATATGCAAGCTGACCCCCAGTGAGTCTGGGTGGTTTACAAATTGTTAAAGCATTAAAACAAGAAAACAACACAAAACAAAATAAAAGAACAAAGATGGCAGAGAGAACAAACCCACATGGGAGCAAAGAAAAAGAAGAAAAGAGGGTTTCAGTCCTGCCCTTTGAAATACCAGTAAGGCGGGGGTTGTTTGAATCTCAGGGGACCTCATTACAGAGGGCAGGTGGTGCTACAGAGGAGGCCACTTCCTGGATCCCAATAGATGGCATTGCTTAATTGAAGGTACCCAGAATGTGCAAACCCTGCCAGATCAGATAATTGACCCATAATAGGTCTTCTGTTCAAGTATATGAGTCTTGGGAGTATTTGAGAAATTGTTACTTCAATAAAACAATGTATACAAAACAAATCTGAAGAGGGAGCTTCATTAGTTTCTTGCTTCAAACATGACAAATAATTTTGTGGCACTTTGAGGATTAACAGATTTATTGTGTCACAGACATAATAAATCTGTTGTTACTAAGGTGCCACATGATTTTCTGCTATATATACAGATGGTGACATTTATTACAAAATAAACAGACCTCACAGACTTTAACTTTTTAATCAGTGCAACAGAATTACTTTCAGTGCCTGTTTTGGTTGATTTTGTTGCCTGCTCTTTTCAAGATGCTATAAAATAGAATCTTAAAATCATACAATATAAAGGAATTCAATTCCCTGCTCAGTGCTAGAATTTATTATTACAGCATCCCATATTGATGGCCTTCTAGACTCTGATTAAACACTGCTAGCAAAGAATAGTCTACAATCTCCTGACATAGTTTGTTCCATTGTTGAACAGGTCTCAACCATTAGAAAATATTTTTTGATATCCAAAGAAAATTTATTTTATAATTTAAACCA